AATTCACGCTTTTGATTGGTTATCACCTGATCGGAGATTTTCGTAATTTGTATAACGAGGACGGTCGCCCCTGTAACCCTGACGATTGTCCATATTTATATCCTTCTGACATCATTGATCGATAGAGTTTATCATTTATTAATATTTTAGTTTGTAAAAAAAATAAGTCTTACCTTAATAAAATTTTATTCTCATATCCCATTTCGTAATAGCTTTTTTCACACATGGGATCTTTGCTAGGAAAATCACCCTTCGGGATTTTCCGATCTGGCTAATTCGGAAAAGCTTAGACCAGAATGCCGGTTCTTATTCATATGTAAATCACCTTTTGCTTTATTTATTCGATAGTTTGATGTTTTACATATGAACAAGAACCGGGCATTCTGGTCTAAGCTTTTCCGAATTAGCTCGATCGGAAAATCCCGAAGAGTGATTTTCCTACCACAGCATAATTTATTGAAAGGTCATGTATAAAAAATAAAATTATTATCGCTATTATTATCGATATTATTACTATTACTATTATTATTATCGTTATTACTATTATTATTATTATCGTTATTACTATTTTTATCGTTATATTTTACGATCATTAAATTGTAATAATAAACTTTTGAGTCTATCGTGACAACACTGACTACCTGATATTTAATATTCGACCGGTTTTATTATATAGCATGATATTTGCTCTGATCACTTAATTCTAAATATCAGCTCTTTCCACTCTTCGGTTACAAATAAATATACCAGTTATCAGTTTTTTCATTTATATACTAATTCAAGAATTCTTTGAGAATTTTCCAGAATCAACCTATCGTTATACAAAAGTGAAACATTTATTTCCGTATTTAGATTATATGTCAAACATAATTTATATAAATAATTTAATTTTTTGTTCATGTGATGACATTTTATTAGCATACATTATGACTCACCTTGTTTAATTCGGTAAAAATTTCGGAGAAATAAATTTCCACAATAAGAAAATCATACGTATACCTATAATACGTAATTGTATTCGTCATCAGCTACGCAATACAAAAACGTGTTAATATGCTAAACAAATGTCCTACATAAAAAATAAAAAAGAAATAATAGAAATGATGAATAAGCGTAACTCGTAAGTTAACAACGTGAATGCTTACGAATGCTATACGTTAACAAAATGGCGTAATCAAGGATTCTTCGAATAACAATATGAAAAAGTATATAATGGTCAAAAAAATAACGTTGTTAAAGTTTGAAAAAAATAATTTCAATCAAGTTTCTTATTTAGAAACAATTATTTTGGAATTCCCTTATTTGATAATTTGAATAATCATTTAAATACTGTAGTTATTTATCGTAAATATCCCAATTGTAAATAATGGCAAGCATCAAAGTTTTACATGGTTCGATCGCTCGCCGTTTCACGGTTCCAAATGACACAACTTGGTCGTCCTTTGAATCCCAGATTCGTTCACTCTTCTACATCCCTTCTCAAACCCCTATTTCCCTTTCATATACTGATGAAGATGGTGATATCATCACCTTATCGAGTGATTTGGAGCTTCAAGAAATACTTTCTGACCAAGAATTGTTTGGTTCATCCGTGAAATTCGTTCTGTCAACTCCTGATGAACTTGATCATAACGAAAAAAATAGTTGGGTATTAGAAGGAAGTACTTCGCAAATAAAGGATGAAGAATTTTCTAAATCTATAAAAGATAATGATGTGATTAGCTTTAGTTCTTCCGATGAGGAAGATGGCTTAGAAACTTCACACGAATCACAAGAACAAAGTTCAAATGAATCTCAACAACAACCATTTGTATTTACTGAATCTTCTGAATTTCAAAAGAATTCAAATTATAAACATGTAACAGTTACTGATGAAGAAACTGAAGAACCAACTTTTAAACCAACTATCGTTAGTCAGCAACCTGAAACGATTGGCGAGTCTTCATCTTCATCTTCATCTTCATCTATCGTTGAGGAAGAAAAATCCAAAGAATTGCCTGAAAAAGAAGAAAAACAACCTGAATCAGATCAATCAACTGATAATAACAATGAAGAAAATATATTTTGGATTTATAATAAGTATCCTCATAGTGATGTACTATTCAATGATTATTCTCCTTATTATGATTATTATAGTTCATATTGTCGTTATTCACCATTTAGACATTCAAGGATTCATCGCCCATTCGGTGCACGTAGACATTGTCCAATATCAGTAGCATTTTACAAATTTATAAAATTCGTATTAGTAATGTCTCTGATAACTACAATTGCAAAATCATTATTTTTTATGATTTGTCCATTATTAAAAATTTTGTTTTTAGTTTTCGCTTTAAAATATTTAAAAAATTCTTGTCATAACCATGATGATGACGAAGAAAAATTTGGTTCATGGAATGGGTTTGGGTTTAGACGTCGATTTGGTAGATGTCATAATAGACGATTTAACAGAAATAATCAATGTTGTCAAAGAAGGGAATCCTGTAATGGAAATATTAGTGAAGAAGTTGTTGCTGAAAAGGTAAAGACTTTAAGAGATATGGGATTTGAAGGTGAAAATTTTGAGGAGTTGGTAAGGTTGTATAACGGCAATATTGACTTTGCTGTTGAAGCATTATTACAACAATAATAGTCATGGAATTTGTAAATTTACGAGATACTAGTTAAATATCATACAAGATGTACAAGATTTTCATTCTTTTATTTTTATTTATTTATTTTTTTCTTTCTTTAACAAGACTTTAATTCATGTTTATCGTAATCATTGGCAAAATGAGAATTAAGATACCGCTTTATGATTAAATTTTTTTCCCATTGCAATCAAATGATTCATTAGTTTGAGGCCTTTGTCCTCTAATTAATTGAATAAATAGTTTTTGTAAAATGGTTAACGTTAATACATTTTCAATTTATTTGTTTAGTCTTTTTAACAAATTTAACATTTATCGATAGTTCTGAGTTTTGCTAAATCATTTTTGGAATATCTGTAAATTTTAAACAAGGATTCACTTCGGTTATAACTATTCACATCAAATTTATTAACGGGCAAATAAAGAATAAATTAAATTTCAAATTCATAAAAAAAAAACCAATTTATTAATATATAATGAGTTAAACGAAAATATATAACTCCATCTAGGCTCTATTAGAAAAAATATCATTTGATAGTGATATACCCTTCAACAAAGAGTAAATCTTAATAATATGTATCTTAATCAAGATAACTTTAAATAAATTATGTATAGAACATATATGAAACTTATGGTTAGATAGCTAAATCAGCCAAATCGTGCCCAGATGGTCTATTTCCAAGATTTCTTACTCGTTTAACTATAACAGTAAATAAAATTTTATTAATATAAGTTTGTATACATTTATCAAAAGATGAAATTGTAATCTTACAGAGCTAAAAAAAATCTGATTCATTGTATTATCATATTCCTCTAAAGGCATATCGGCATATTGTAAATTCATTGTATTATCATACCCCTCTAAAGACACATCGACAACTATAGAATAGTCATGCTCGTAAAGAAGTATATTTGGACCAGAAACAGTGTCATAGTTATCTGTAGATAAATGAGAAAAATGTTAAAATCTTCTCGTGAAATTATTATTAAAAATAAGATGCTATCTTACTTGTATTTACTTGTGTCGTTTCCAGACCAAGTTCTTCGGTACATTTTTTACAATACAACATGCCTTTAATTGCATATCTCCTATATCTGCAATTCTTACACATGTCAGCGGTCTCACAAAATAAGTTCTTCTTTGTACAGCGACTACAAGGTTTTTCGTCATCACACTTTTTTTTCGAATTTCGGCACTCAGTACAAGCGCTGGTAGTACGTTTACTCTTATTTACAAGTTTCTCATTGCAATCTTTTGCCTCAGTTGACTGCATTATAAGTAAATTTAGGTTTATAGAAAAGTTTGCGCTTAATTGAACGAAAAAAATAGCCGGAAAAGAAGAATAACGTACTATATGAAACTTGGTCTTTTTTTATTTCATAACCTTCCACAAGTTCCGCTATTTATTTCACAAGTTCCGCTACTGCCATTGAGTGTATCTTTAAGGGTTTTCATGAGTTATATCGTAAAAACATTCTCTGTTGAATCAAGACAAACGTCGCGTTGGGGTATTACACATATTAGTCTATATGAGGTACCATAATAGAATTTACTAATACAGATTTTTTACGTATTATTTGAACATTTTGTACCCATGTA